AAAAAAAAAAAAAAAAAAAACAATTTTAAAATTCATATGGAACTTAAAAAGCCCAAATAGCCATAGCAATCTTAAGCAAAATGAACAAAGCTGGAGACATTACACTACCCAACTTCAACTATACTACAAGGCTTCAGTAACCAAAACAGCATGGTACTGGTACAAAAATAGACACGTAGACCGATGGAACAGAAAAGAGAGCCAAGAAATATTGCTGCACACCTATGATCTGATATTTGAAAAAAAGTCAACAGAAATGAGCAATGGGGAAAGGACAATAAATTGTGCTTCAATAAATGGTGCTTCTAGCCATATGCAGAAGTTTGAAACTGGACCCTTTCCTTATGACATATACAAAAATCAACTCAAGATGAAGAAAAGACTTAAATATAAAACCTAAAACTATAAAATCCCTGGAAGATAGCCTGGGAAATACTATTCTGGACTTAAGACCTGGCAAAGATTTCATAACAAAGATGCCAAAAACAATTGCAACAAAAACAAAAATTGGCAAATGAAATCTAAAGAGCTTTAGCATAGCCAAAAACAAAGAAACAAAAAGATGAACAGAGTAAACAGATAACCTACAGAATGAGAGAAAATATTTTCAAACTATGCATCCTACAGAGGTCTAATATCCAGAATTTATAAGGAATTTTATAAGGAAAAAACAATCCCATTAAAAAGTTGGCAAGGTCATGAACAGACACTTTTCAAAAAAAGACTTACACGTGGCCAACATACATATGAAAAAAGGCTCCACATCACTAATAATTAGAGAAACGCAAATCAAAATCACAATGAGATACCATCTCATACCAATCAGAGTGCCTATTATTAACAAGTCAAAAATTAACAGATTTTGGCATAGTTGCAGAGAAAATGGAACACTTATATACTGGTAATGGGAATGTAAATTAGTTCAGTCGTTGTGCAGAGCAGTTTGGTGATTTATCAAGGAACCTGAAACAGAATTACCACGCGACCCAGCAATCCTGTTATTGGATATATACCTAAAGTTTGAATATAAATTGTTCTGCCATAAAGACATATGCACGCGTATGTTCATCACAGCCA